GAAAATGTTCCCGAATCGTCTTTAGTTGACAGTCGTTGAACCGACAAACTGGAGCGTGCGGAATACTTATGTAACAATGCACAGTAATCTAGCAAAAAAATAAACCAACAAGAATGTTGCAAATATTCCCGAGTTTTTACGGCCGGTCGCTATGTTGAAACAGTCCAAGTCAGAACGGGGGGTTATCCATTTCACATTGTGCCCAGATGCTTTTGATGTACGAGTTGGTGCCGTACGTCAGACAGCTACAGCAACAAGCGATGTCAAGTCTCCAGGTTCAGACTGTGTTCTACACCGGAAGTCGCCCATAAAACTGGTAACGATTAACTTGGCGGTAATTCACGATTGTACGGGAGATGTCAATGCCGTTCCTATGAAAGACAACCGTTCGGTTTCGACCATTAACAGAAGAAAAGCTTACATTATACTATTATTGGGCCAAGTTGGACGCTGCGATATGCCAGTTCCTTTCAGTCACATAGTTGTGAACATCAAGGATGACAGTTTTTGGGATAAAACGATCAATTTTGGTCACCATTTTGGAGTGTTTCGATAAAATTATCTAGCTATGCAAATTCCAGTCTTTCCATTACTCACTCCAGCACACCTGTTCGAATTTGCAGGTTAACTGTTGTGCCTACGATAGAAAGCCATAATAGTGATTCCAAGGCAAAATACTGGGTACCCACATGCTTGTGGTTGTATTAAGAATTTTACAGGTCTTATGATACCTCATCGCTGAAAACTATTCACGCATGACAGTTATGTCCCAGGCCCCACTATTAGGTGTTATGTCAGTAATCCCCAAAAACCATTCATTTGAATACTCGAGTATTACGACTTCATTTTAGGTCCACCCTTCCAATGTCATGTGTGTTTTATTGAGACTGAAGATTTTTGGGAAAGAATCCTGTTCAAAAATAAGAAGACTAGTGGCCCGGAAGTTGTCCGGTGAAGTCGTACTTTCATTTTCTTATTACAATGGCACAACAAAAGCATTTTTGAACCCTGATGGAACCCTATCATTGTACCAGATTATGTGAGCGGTCGACAGAATGCATTCTGCAAAGTACTTATACAGGTCTACTGCAAAGAAGTCTTCAGCTGAATTGACACTCCGCACGTTCGCATGCTCTGTCTAGTACGGTCCAAAGGCAGTTGCAGGTATCATTCAAGCAGTCTATCAGTTGTAATTTAGTAAATGCTTACTGGTCAGCTTAACTGCTTGCGTCATTTGCCCAATGCTTCTACATGCAACGTCTTATGTTTTAGTTTTCTGCCATCATCTTGGAGCATTTTAGCCGATTTGATAGTAAACACTTGTAAAATTTACAGTGATGTCTTTAGGCTGATCTACACACCTTGGTTCTACCACCTTTCTTCCTTGAGATAGTTGAGGTTATGAGTCAGCTTACTTCGAGCATTCTTTTTTCTCTGCTGTTTCTTGAACTGTTTGTGCGATGGGACGAATAATTCCACCGATGCTTCGTTCTTTGTGTTACCAACCGTCTGGTATACTGTTTGTTGTCCATCAAACAGTCAGAGAGTTCAGGAGTGGTCACCGAAATATTGTTTTGTGCGGAAAATGTCCAGTTCAGTGGGCAAAGTCAGTCTCAAATTCATTCGCCCAAACAATGTTTACTATTCCTCGGAAATAATATTAACGATTCTGTTTGAAACATTCCTAAAGTGGCAAGTGGAGCTAATTTATCCATGTCAGATGTCGAAACCGGACGTAATGTTTCACTTCGGTAGAGTGGTCCAGCGGATTAGCCAGAAGTATGACACATGCGCAAAGTAATTTAGTTTCCCAGGTGGTGGGGCAGCACCGTCATATGTGTGTTTTTCGTCCAACAGCAAGATAAGTACAACCAAGAACCATGTGTTGACCATCTGTCCGAAAATACACTGGCGAAAAGGGGTTGATACCATTTGGGTCGGAGTTGAATGTTTGATGTAGAAACTAGCTGAAATCTCCTAAACGGGTGCAGTTTCAAAGGGTCATTCAAAAACAGCATGAATACAATTCAGCAAATACTGTTACCCGAAATTCTAAAGGATAAATAAATCTATTATTTCCCACTGTCTGGGTGCTTGGGGTAAAATTATGTGAGTTTTGACAACGTGGGTTAAAGCCAATTATGATAGTATTTCTTAAAACGAATCCCGAGCTACCGTCAATGGGACGTTTGAGCGGTCGGACCGAGCACAGTGTCTGATGTAAGAGGGAGCTTTTTTTAGGAAGGTGCTTTTAATCCTTTTCACTGTGTGACAGCTCACAAACCGAATGCAGTGAATGCAATGTGGATTTAACTGAGGCCTCTTTAGCCAGGTCTTTGGAAAGCGTAATTTTCAGTTTGGCTGAAATCCACCATACTTTCCTTTGCGCAGATGGAGCGGAAAAAAGTAGTGCACTATATTCATTTTATTCAAATATATGTCCGTTTACTTGAGTCAGCGTAACCCAGATTTTGAGGAGGAAGTGTTAGGCTGTTTACTCGTTATTTTTGGGAAAATGTGTACACTGCGAGTATCACAGAGAGCCAGAGAGCCTCGCCCGAGAAAACTTCTGGTTAGCAACACATCACGGTACCGTTTGATTCTGATTAGTCAGCTGAATTTAGTGGGTTAAAACGGGATACGGAACCAATATTCTTCAATCTCGAGATTTGTTTGATGTTCTCTAGCCCTTCGAATGATGTCAGTCCGTGCGAATTGACAGAGCCACGCTTTATCTCGGATGGTTAGCTCGCATCCTTCAGTATTTGATCCGATCTTATCTGCTTATTGTGGAGCTGCTGCATCAGTGTATTTCAACGTCTAGATTGTGCAGTGCTTGTGCTAACTGCGATCAGTGACTAACTATCTTGTAATCAAATGGTTGTTTGGGACCGGTAGCATCCTGAAAAGCGAGGCGAGGTATAACTATTTTTATGTCATAAGTTTATCTTAGTTTGCTACAAAGCAAAAGACAAAGTGGCTTTCAAATGGGAATGCAGATCATTGCAATCTCAAAGAGCGCTTCAATCAAATCCATCACGGACTGATCTTAAAATCGCACTAATGGCATACTGTTGGTATTGTTGCACGCAAGCTAGTTTGAAGTTTTCATACTTGGAGTGCACCTATACAGTACCAACTACACGTTAATTAGTTACTGAGATCAACGTGGCCAAACCCCATGGGACCACGATCTACGTGATATGATCGTACCAAACGTTGTCATGACTGAAACAATTTAATGAAGGCTGGTGAATGTAGTAGATCCCCTTAGAATGATAAGTGTTGGCCGGTTTTCATCCAATTATTAAGATAAGCCTGTCGTTTTAGCGGCAGGAAGTGAGGTTCATTAGATGGATGTCTTCTCTGAATATGCTAATTGGCAGCCCGCTTGAACCAAATGAGAGTGAAATGTTAGATAGAAAGCTATATACAGCCTGAGCAAGAGCAAATATGGACTGCAAAGACATAAACAACAGTAAAAAAACGGAAAGAGTAAAAAAAAACGGAAAGAATGTGACCGACTGATTAGGAATGATACTTGTTTTAGGTATCGTCAGTGATGTACGAAGCTGCGAAAACCCAGTTCCTTGGACCGTGTCCAATAATTTGAGGTTGTACCACTGTCAGAATTTGGTCATTAGCTTGGTATATCCTTTGATCAATCCCTGCTTCTGTCCCTAAAAATAAACGAGGCAAATGGAGATTAAGTTTATGAATACAAGAACAAACCAGAGGTAGTCCCATCAAATGAAAAAAACTAATGGGAATAGTGATACCCGGCGATCAGAAAATTCCACTTTGGACAGTTCAGGCAACTTGGCTCTGTTCAGTGGTTTCAGAGAGAGATGAACATCATTTTCGAAAGTAAACGACGGTGAACAGCTGCCTTAGTCTAATTACTCATAGAAGATGATGGATTCACAGTATCCCAACTTTTCTTCCTCACAACCTAGCAAACGAAAATGCAGGTATCGTTTTAGAAGGCTTGATAAACAGTCGGTAGTTTTCAAATAGGCCGATATTCCTCTGTGAAACTTTTTATTATGAAATTCATGATTAAATTGTTTGAAGTGTATTCTGGACTGCAACCTTTTCGAAGACCTATAGTGAGTTAATGCAAGACGAGTTTGTCCAGCCGACATTATGTAAAAGCAAAATCCCTTTCGAAAGAAAAACAATCAGGAAGACAAGCACATCCAACCGGTGCATCTAGAAACTTGAGAACAAATTCTGAAGAGCTAATCCTGTGCGCTTGTTTACCCTTCTTTGTTGAATGTAGTAGCTTTAAATGCATAGAAACGTAAGGCAAAAGTGCAAATAAGCGAACAGAATGCTGTTTAAGTTACGTAGGGATCCAGTTTTAGAAGATACAGTCAATCAGCAAAAAACATCAACGGAATGGTGAGGAAAGACCTGAGCAGGTGGTGGTGATAGACTGCTGTTGTAGAGGTGAAGTCGATGGAGTAACCGCAAAAAATTGTGGTCTTTGTAACAAATTTTTGCTGTTACGAAATCCTAACATAAACAAGTGTTCAAAATGTTTCCCTTTCTGTGGTATTGACGAGCACTTTGTCGCTGATACTGGAAAGTTACCTTCTCTGATCTTGCACTGAAATAAACAATAAACAAATATTGTGCCAGCAAATAACTTGCAAAACAACTCCCATATTTACTCACCATGTTTACTCTTGTCGTAAACCTACCGGTGAACATTGTTTTTTTGTTATTGTTATAGATAACATTATTTAATAAAGTTGAATAGGAGAAAAAACCTCAATTCACAGTTCTCAATGCACTATGGATGAGACAACAGCAAAACTGCTCGAAGGAAACAGGTGCGATCAAAACGCTTGTGTATGCGCCAAAATGGGTCTCTGCAGTACCAAACAAAAATGACTTTATTTAACGTAGAATGCCTCACTAATTCACGTAATTACCTCAGATTACATGAGCTACTTCCACATGCCGACTATACCTGTTCAATTCAACCTACAGACTAGTGTTGGAACCAAAGAAAGTCGTGTTAATTTTGCAAGGATCGTCGGATTGTCCACGAATTATTGCCTGGGAAAAGAAAGAAATTATATGAAGATGTTATGCTTGCTACAATTGGCGGAGCATTACAAATTTATTCTCTTTGGTTAGTTGACATCACAACTCCATAATCCTTTAGTAAGGCGATTGGCTGAATGGGTTGGCTGTGTTGAATCGCTTTGTTGTTTGAAAGATTGGACAGGTGGCTTTAGTATATACATAAGGGATGTAATGTACTGTTAAGACTGCTGAGTGAGTTGGAAAATTTCAGTTTCGTGTTTTATCGGTAAAATGTACATTGCTCCCGTGGTGTTTGCAATATTTAGGGTAAGAATAAGGTTGCTGATTTTTATCTCTTCGCTGAGCTAAGCTGGACAGTTCGGTGGCGCCGTAGCCCACATAGGTCTGCATGATAATGTACTGCATATCATTCAAACCATCATGATGTCACTCTAAGAGATGACGAGCTGTCTTTAATTAAATCGTCCAAATTTGTAAAAAGAGTAACATTCATCTACACAACTTAGGCTCCCAACATTCTCATCAATGGTAAACAGCATGTGGTTTACCTCGTACAGCAATGGCGTGGTGGATATCGAAGCCAAATATGGCCATATAATTTTGTGTCAAATGTTGGACAAATCATTGGTAATCCGGCACACAGTTCACGAAAGTGATTCAGGTTTCGTGCTGTAAGATCCCAGAGTAATCTAGCACAAAAACTATGCACCTTGGACTCTATCCACTGAGCACTACATCGTGGAGCGAAATGTCCCTTTTTAAAACAAAGTTCTGGAACACTCCATCCTGAAACGCTTTAAGCTGGGATAATAGATTTTGGAGCATTGGATCACCTGAAATGCTCAATGGCACCTGTCTAAAACTCTTACCATTTATTGTGCGAATATTACGTTTGAAATATGAACAAGGTCAGCGGAATTTCCGGGTTACCGGTTACCATATTCCACTTTGCTAGCTGGGAACACTATAGACGTTTTGAATGGTAAGGTAGTGTTTGCATAAAACTGAATTGGGTCTGTTCCATGTAGAAGAAATAGGAAAAATTCTTTCCGACTATCTGAGAAACAGTTGAGGAAAGATTTGTGGACAACAAACAGTTCTTTGATATTTTCAAAATCAGTTTGTCTCTCTGCCCATGCACATCACCTATCGGTGGGAATAACCATCTTGAAGTTTCTAAAAAAACAGTAATTGAGTGTGTCTAGGGATTTGTTCACCACCGGCAGTAGCACGCACTAATCAATTGCGAGAATACAAGCTGGTGTGAGCTTAAGTCTTTCCGAGTATCAGTGATAACATTGTATGCATCAGGGTTGTATTCGTAGCGGGAAATGAGCTTATGGGCACCACACGTGATTATCCTATTCTCCCTCAAATGTAATGACGTTAGACATTTGCTTATTATTTTACTCCCCAATCTTGTAGTAAATTCATTGTGCTACATTAGCCAAAACAGTGCGCTTGTTTTGCACACCGTCTTACACAAATATACCAAGAAGTACAAAGTGGCCTGTAATGTAGTGACTCTGTGTGTACGAAATACCCTAGAGATGAATCAATTAACAAACTGTCGATATTGGGAGATACACTGCCACCTGTCATGCTCTGCTTAGATTGTTGTAGCCTTCATAGGTTTTTTGTTCGAGATTTTCAAAAGTTCCAGTATGTATCAAGTAATAACTTTCATTGAGCACACAATTTAAAACATGTTTCTGGTGCGGAAATTTTTACAGATTGATGACGGACTATATCTCTCAGCCACTGTATATACAGGACTCCCTTGTTGCTGATGATCCTAAGTCAGCCATGAGAAAAAACTTCGGAACTAGTTTGCCAATAAAACACTTTAACAGGTTTTTTATAAGAAAAGTGTGCTCAAAAACGTACCGCGCTTGTAAAGATACTATTGCAAAGGCTATACTGCTCGCATTACAAGCTGTCAGTCATCACATCGGTCAAGTTTTGCTTGTAGTACGATGTTCATGACTGGGAACAATTCAGCTTTGAAATAGCTTATGCTAGCGCGTTGGAAAAACGCTAAAACGGAGACTCTGTTATGAAGTCTTGCTCTGAGTTACTCATTATTGTTTGCTATTCTCTGGTAGGCAAGTAGGGAGGCATTAAAAAAGAAGCTCTTCAAATGGTCCAGAGGGGGATCCTTGATTCATGACTCTGAAGGATGCTCCATTGTATCTACTCCAAATTGGCATATGCATCTTGTTTACAAAATCTGAATATTCATCTCCTCCTTAAACGCGTATTCCTGAACTTATCTGGATAGCCATTGAATGTTGCTCAAACGCAAGCAAATGTGACTGAATCTACTCCAATTGGCATATGCATCTTGTTTACAAAATCTGAATATTCATCTCCTCCTTAAACGCGTATTCCTGAACTTATCTGGATAGCCATTGAATGTTGCTCAAACGCAAGCAAATGTGACTGAACAAATTCCGTAGTAGATCTCACTTTTCAAGAGACGTGAAGCGGATTAACGATAAAACATATTACCCACACGCCCCCATCAGTAGTATCCACCGTTACACTGGTATTGCACACAAAATCCCTTCCAGGACAACAAGACATTACACTGCAATAAAGGGTATGGCTAAACAATCGACCAATCATTATTCTTACTTATCGACTGACTGAAAGGCGAAGCATGTCCACTGTGTATACATCGGCCAGAAAAAGGGCTCAATATTCTTCCCTATTGGCAAACAGGTAAACCAACTATTGAGACTGCTTGATACGTTTAACCTTCCCAAACACGCTCCGCTGAGAGGAATATTATACTCCGGCTAAGTGAGGAATGTGCTTGCGGTTGCAACAATTCAGCAAACGTTCTGGATGTTATAAAATTTTATTTTTGGGGCCAGGTATTCCTTATTTTTTGGATTTGTTTCACCGTATGGCCTGCGGCAGGGACGTTATTGTCACATTGTCAGATTTCCGGACTAAAGCATATCTACTTTGATGATGACGCCATTATTATGGAATAAAGGACATTAAATTCTGGGCTTATTAATTTATTCAAAAATGTTAGTCTTTTGACAATTACAAATTTAGAGAATAGAAGACCCATGCTGCCAGAACATCGTATTGGCCGTATTTTTGCAGTGACATATAATAGAGCCGCCGATAATTGTTCATTTTACAGCCTTCATTTCCCCCGTCAAATAGACTTTAAATAGAGGAGAATGTCGGTAGCTCAGGTAGCGTAGATGGTCGTTGGCTTGTTCGCTGAGCTGGGCAATTTGGTTGCAAACGTTTCATCACCAATCGCGGTGACATTATCAGTGCGTAGTTGTGCGTAGCGGTGGGTTTGTGGTTGTTAAATGTTGCGGCTCGAAAAATTTAGCAAATGCAAAGTGAACAACAAAAGAGTAACAGCTCAGTAGTCCTTGTCAGCTTTCCAGTAAGACACCTCAATTTCATCAAACCCAAAGAAGAGGAAAGCTTCGACGTTTGGGAATGCAAAATTATTAGAAAATGTTCACCAGAAGAAAATCTAAAAGCTTGCCAAGATTTACGAGGTAATCCGTTGGAAAATACGGGATTTGAAGCATACCAATCAAGAAACAGAGAAACAGTCACCGGAAACCCGGGGAAGTCTTGCCGAAGTATATTGATATTATTACCTTCAATAGCTCAGGGCTCACCCTGAAAAGTGGGTGCTTGTTTGGAAGCACCTGTAAATATTTAGTACACCACTCAATTTGGCAACCTACGTTTTTACGGTAGGCAAATTAATCAGACCAAACATGTCACGTAAGGCATACAAATTATTGGAAGAAAAAGTGTTAAAGGATTATCCTTTATGGCTTGATAATGGAGAGACTTTTTGAGTTTGCGCTTATCCTGGACACGAAAAAACAATTTACCATTCTTGTAGGTCTGTGATCGCTATTGGGACGTTTGTTCCGGATTCAGGCCGCCATGGGAATGCCAATTTTAAACACGCACGGATAGTAAAACTCCGGTCGACAACAATGGAATGTATTCACGCAAATTTTCCCCAGTTGGTGCTGTGTGCATCGTGTTACGTCTTTATAAGTGTGCCTGAATGTACAAGGGGATGTAGTCAAACGATTCCACTCATTGGTAAATACGAATCTGTTCTCTCAGGATTTAATTCATTGAATGCACTTTTGCTAACCATCTTACAATTTTCTTTGGGCTTGTCCCGCTGCGACACATGATCCATTCTACCTGGTGTCATCAATCATTAGTCTTGATCGCATCCATTTGAATTTGCTACGAAGCCTGATGGTGAAACATACCGATACTTGCTAAGTCTCGGGTGAAAACTGCATTGTTTCTTGGACTTCCTTTTCACATTTTTGCGATACGATTTTGGCGCTTTCTTCCTGAACTAAATGACATCGGGTGTTTTTACAGCGCACGTCGGTTTCATGGAGAAAGAGCTGTGGAAATATCTACCAAGCCAACCAACGATAGTCACAAACCATCAAACTGAGACAAGTTTTGTCCACCACCACCGCACAGCTTGCTTTATGAAATGAGGCACACACCTGTATGTCTCAGATGAAAGAGACTACCAGTTGTGGGTGGCTGCGGCATTTATAGAATGCAGGCTCAAACCACTCTTTTAAACAATACTCGGTTGGGGTTCGCGGATTTTTCGCATACTCACGTGTTCAAATATGCACAGACAGGTTCACACAGCGTTCTCCCTCGTCGGCTTCTGACAGACGTCGTTTGTGAGGCTGAAAACCTATGTGCAACATTTTGTCTCTCATCTTGGTGACTAGAGAATATCCACTGAACAAGAGTGCACTTACGTATGCAAAACTAAAACACCGTGGTTTTCTCGCCAGGCAAGTTGGCACTTTTATCAAGGTCGATCCACGCGACCGACCAGGGGGTGTGGTAAAACCGTCGCACTGTAAATCATGAAAATTAGTCTAAGGCGCAACAGTATCTAACTGCGCTTTATTTCACATCAGACCTATTCAAACCCATCCGCTTGACGCTTGCCCAGAGAT